CTTTGAATTTGATTAAAAATTCGCAAAATTTTGTATATCGATAACAAATTGAATTGTTATTCATACTATAACGTATATAAATTAAAATATAAATATATATAAATTCCAAGATAATAATAGTAGACACGTGCTACACACACACACACACATTTAACAGTACATTTAGCATCTAATTTGATAATGAAAATGGTGCAATTTCGCAACGTCAATCAATCAAGAAAATTGTCGTGTGCTATTGCATAACGCAACGTAACGTCAGCCATTCACTGAAATGCTGGCTCCCATCCGAATGCAACTCGATTCTATTATGGAGTCAGTTGCCACTCAACGCTCGTCCGGACTCTCACCTGGCATGTTACACGCTCTGCTGCTAGCGCTCATCGCGCTGTTCCTCGCGCTGCTCGTGTTTCTCGCATGGAACTTTGGACACTGGCGCAGACGTGGAGTTTGGGAGCCGTATGCCCTGCCTCTGCTGGGATCTTTTCCCAACATGGTATGGCCGAGGCGACATTTTCTGAACGATATGCGTGATCTTTATATGTGAGTGGGGAATCAGATGGGAATAAGATGCGCATGTATTCTTTCCTCTTCCTCTTCCACGATTTCCTTTACCTTTTCTTCATCTTTCATATAACACACTCTTATCTACCTCTTTCCTTCTAACTTCCCCTTCAGCTTGCCCAAGTCCTCCTGGGCTCTCTCCAACTTCTCTCCTCTAGCTACCCCTTTTACATTTCCTGTTCCTCTTCTAGCTCCCTAACTCTTCCTGTCTCTTTACACCTCGTGTTCCACTTCCTCTTCCTCCTTCTTCCTCTAATAGTTCTCAATGAGGACTTTCTTTCCAGTTTTCTCTTCCTCTTCCTCTTCTTTTTTTTCTTCTTTCTCTTATATCTATCATTGGGGACTCTCTACATTATAGGCAGTATCGCTCGACGCACAGCTATGTGGGTGCCTATCTGCTGAGAGCACCAAAGTTGCTGTTGCTGGAGCCGAAGCTGATCAACGAGGTGTTCGTGAGTGCTTTCCGATGCTTCGAAAACAACGATGCCTCGCGCATGGTGGACACACGGAAGGATCCGTTCATCGCGTGCAATCCCTTTGTGCTGGACGGCGACGAGTGGCGGCAGCAGCGCGGCATTTTCTCGCCCCTATTGACCAGCGGGCGCATACGCAACGCCTACAGCAATATGCAGCGGATCTGCGGCCAGCTCTGCGACTACATCGATGAGCAGTCGAGGAGCGGTCAGCCCTTCGATGGCTCAGATGTGAGTCCTCAATATTACTCACTGTGAAATTTGTAAATCTCTTTTTGGCTAGTTAGTTTCATTATATCTGTATTGCTCCAGCTGGGATTACGTTTTACCAGCGAGAATCTCTTAGACTGCGTCTTAGGCATCGAGGCACGCAGCTTTACGGATAGCCGCTTGCCCGTGGCGCAGCACAATAAGGAGATGTCGGAGGAGAATTACCGCCTGGCTCTGTCGGGTGCTCTGAACGGACTCTTTCCCCGGCTGCCGCGCTGCCTCAGGCCCAAGATCGTGCCGCCCTCTTATGAGCGCTTCTTTGGCGACCTGGTGCGGCAGTCCTTCCATCTAAGGCGTTGCCGGCGACAGGAGCGCAACGATTTCATCAACCATCTGCTGGACATGCAGCGGCAGCATCAGCTCACCGAAGAGCAGCTCACCTCCCATGCCATGACTTTCATGTTCGATGGCCTGGACACCACCTCCTCGACCATCGCCCACTGCCTGCTCTTGGTGAATTGCCTTAGCTGCAGTAACTACTTTCGGCTAATATAAGACTTGTCTGTGTACAGCTCGGCAGGTATCCGGAGTGCCAGCAGCAACTCTGGCTGGAGCTGGACAAGGCCACGCCCAAAGATCAGCTGCTGCCCCATTTTGAGTTGCTCAGTGAGCTGCCCTATTTGAGTGCCTGCCTAAATGGTGAGTTCAATGAGTAGCTACATATGTGGATGATCCAATAGTAAACTACAATACCTTTCAACAGCTTTACTCATACAGTCGAGTCCCGATAATGGCAAGGGGATCCGATTTTTTTCCGATTTGCAAAGAAATTTAAATTAGATTGATTTTGTTCATGGAGATAGAATTTTTTCGATTTATCACGATTTTAGATGTATCGGGGTACATTTATTGAGACTCGACTGAATAATGCATATATTTACTCATATATCTGATTGGGGCATATGTATTTATGATGGGAACCATTCTATAATATCTGTCCTTCCCTTTCTCTCGGGTTTTCTATTTCTCTCTCTCTCTCTCTCTCTCTCTGCTCCTTCCGTTGTTTCCCGTCCCTCTCTCCTGTTTTCTTTCTCTCCCCCTGCCTCAGTGCCTCTAATTTTTCCTTCTTCCTCCCTCTCTCTCTTTCCCTCTATGTTTCCCCTCTCTCCCTCTTTCTTACTAACTCTAATTTATATTAATTTTTTCCTCTCTCGCTCTCTCTGCTCACTCTCTCTCTCCCACTCTTTGCCTGCCTCTGTCTTTCGCTCTCTTTTTTCACTCTTTCGCTCGCCTGTCTTTCTTCTCCTGCAATTCTCTTCTATATACATGGTATATGCATATATTCTCCACTTTATTCATATAGTTTTTACCAATTCTTCTCTATCTGACATTTTATATAGAGACACTGCGCATCTATCCAGCTGGCGGCTGGGCGTCGAAGACCTGCACCGAGCCCTACACCTTCCATGGCAGCCACCATCGTAGTCCACTGCAAATGTTGCCAGGCGACAATGTAATGATACCCATCTATGGCCTACATCACGATCCCAACTATTATCCAGAGCCTCAACAATTTCGACCCGAACGCTTTCTAAATGGCGGTCTTAAGCGTTTCCAGCAGCTGGGCGTCTTTCTCGGCTTTGGCAATGGACCGCGTCAGTGCGTGGGCATACGCCTGGGCCTCACCCAAACCAAAGCCGCGCTAGCCGCCATAGTTAAGCGGTACGAGGTGCTCGTCAATGTACGTACCCTTGATGGCATCGAGCTAGATCCGTACATCTTTGTGGGTGCCCACAAGGGCGGCATTTGGCTGGACTTTAAGGCACGTTCTGTTTGAGAGCAAACTATGGATGCGGCATTGGAGTGGAACGTGATGAGCTCAGTGATGCCCTGTAATATTTATTCGATCTACTGAAGCTGTAAGAGAAATGGTAATCCATTTTATATAAAGCTAGATAAGATAAGAAGTAGGTAATAAGGGCAATTGTTGAACTCAAATAAACATTTATAAATAAATTAAAAAAAAAAAAAATAGTAAATTGGTATAGTCGAATCATAAAAGAATTTCGATTTTGTTTCATCCAAGTCATACTAGTGTAAAGTAAATAGATGTTTAGCCGAAGATCTAAAGTAGATCTGTTAGCAATTCCAAAAGCAAAAAGCTTAAAAAAAAAAATCCCACACATAAAAATGTAGAGTCTCTTCGGCTTTTGCATCTCCAGAGATCAATGAGTGTAAATAGAAAGAAAGGGAAAATAAATGAAATGAACAAACAAGAGGCAAAATATTTGAGAAATAGACAAATAAACCCATCACCCGATGACATTGGCCCATTGACTGGGCACTCGGAACTGGGTGTAGCCCAGTTGTGAGAGAGTGTGTGTGTGTGTGTGTCACCTAGTTATGTCACACGGCAGCCGATGCTGATAGCCGTTGAGCAATTAAGTCAAGCAGAAAGAGAGCGAGACACCACAGCGGCGATGGGAGAGTGCGACACTGATCAATCAGCAGTTGTAAGACTGCGCTTTGATTGAGCTCTAAGTATGATTTGATTGGTATTTGTTCGACTTTTCCATTGTTGGGCTCGCGTTTGTGGGTTTTTCATTCAATTTTCGTAGCCCAACAAAGCGTCGCGTCAACTATTCAATTTGCATATGCCGGACTGGGACTTTCTCTAACCACGGTTGCTAAGCCGCTGTTGTGTTAGCTAATTTACCGATAAATATTTAAGGTGTACAAATCGAAATCACATAAAATGCGGCGAAGGTCAGCAATGCGCATCTTAAGTTGGCTTGATTGGAATACCCGTGAAGTCAGTTAAAAAAGGTCCAAAGCTGGGACGCTATCTGTGATTACCGGACGGTGACTCGATCGTTCAATCCGTATGTTACTCAATCATTGCCCCCGAAAGCCAATCAATTAGTCTGCCAGTGGGTCAGTCAGCCAGGGAATTAGTCAGCCGATTCAGCAGTCGAGCAATCGGCCAGAATATCAATCAATCTGAAATAGGTCAATCCGCGAGAATGTCAGTCAGCCAAGAGTAAATCAATCAGTGAAGAATCAGTGAGCCAGTCTATTCAATCAATTCGTCAATAACCAAAAAGTTTGTGGACCCAAAACTCAATCAATCAATCGAGAAGTCAGTGAGTCTGTCTGCTCAATCAGTCAGAAAGAAATGCAACTAGAAGTCAATCAATCAATCGGTGAGCACGATCAATCAAAATTGACCAGAAGTCAATCAATCTTGAGAGATACTGAGGTCAGTATGCCACTCAGGCAGTCAGTCAATTAGTCCGTTTTTCAATTTAACAGTCAATCAATCAGTCCATTTTTAAGTCAGACACTTCAATCAATCAGTCAATTTTTAAGTCAGCCTATGATTCAATCAGTTCAATGAATCAGTCAATTTTTAAGTCAGCCTATGATTCAATCAGTTCAATCAATTAGTCAATCCATCAAGCAGTCTGCTTTGATTCACTTCTTCAAATTCCTCAAATATCGATAAATATCGATAAGATAAAACAGCAATTTATGTACATAAGTAAATTTATTAGTTAACAATTCGTTAAACTGGATTCGAAAAAAAAAATAGAAATTAGATTGAGAAATGAAACTTGCGCGCGTTTTGAACAGCGCGCGAGCCAGCAACAAATTCGATACGCTTTGATGAAATTAAACTAATCAGTGCTACGAGTCTGTGTGTTGATATATATGTGTGTATGTGTGTGTGTGTGTGTGTGTGTGGGTGTGTGGGACTCAGTGCCTGGAGACAGGCAGCAGGCGCAGCGGTCGCGTTTGACGCACAATTCGCTCGCGTGGCCTTGCCACAGTTGGTGGCAAATAGCCGCGAGGCGCCACCGCTGGCAACTGTTGCTGTTGCTGTGGCTGTGGCTGTTGCTGTTGCTGGCGATACTCCTGCTGGTCGTCGTAGATCTTGACCGTCTGCACATGGGTCTCCACATTGTTGGCATCCTGGCTAATCACCTTGACAATGTGATGATGGCCGCGCGGCTGTTCGCTGCTGGTGCCCAGGATCTTGATGGTCTTCACGCCAGCAGCATCTAAGGTTTCCAGCACCTTGAATGTGCGCACCTCATGCGGCTTGACGATCTGCACGGTGCGCACTCGGGAGCTGCCACGGCCAACGGGCGCGGCGGCAGCGACGGCAACATTGACGGCCAATTGCATTTCGCGCGGCATGAACTTTTGCAGCGATTGCTGTGCCTGCAGATTCAGCGCGGGGCGTGGCAGTGGCAGAGGCAGTGGCTGCTGCTGCTGCTGCTGATACTGCTGATGTTGCTGATGTTGCTGATGTTGCTGGCGTCGGGCGTGAAAGATGTGGTGGTGGTGTTGGTGGTACTGCGTGGGCAGCGCAGTGCGTGCGTAGGACATGGCAGGGGCATAGAAACGCGGACGCTTCGATTGCTCACGGTACATTGGCGCCACCTCAACGAATTGTTGCTGCTGCACATGCTGCTGCTGCACTTGTTGCTGCTGCACACGTTGCTGCAGTTGCAGCTGCAGCTGCTGCTGTTGCTGGGCCTGTGGCTGGCCGTAGCGCGCATACGGCTGCACGGTATTCATATAGCTCCTCAGCGCATGAATGTGTGTGTGCTGTGTGGGCGGTGCGGACAGTGGTGCGGCCACCACAGTGGGTGCCGGCTGATAGGCAGCAGGAGCAGCAGCAGTTGCTGTTGTCCTTACCTGTTGCTGCTGCTGTTGCTTGGGCACGCCATAAATAATGTTGGAACCAGCTGAACGTTGTTGCTGTTGCAATTGAAATTGTTGTTGCTGTTGTTGCTGCTGCTGTTGCAGTTGAAATTGCTGCTGCTGCTGTTGCTGCTGCTGCTGCTTAAGCAATTTGGTTTGCGTTTGCAGACTGTGCAGCTCAGCAATGGCAGCCTCAAAGTTCTCGGGCTTGGTAAAGTCGTAGCCCTCAGGCAGAGCACCAGGATGGCTGAGTTGCTGTGACTGTGACAGTTGCTGTTGCTGTTGCACCTGCAATTGTTGTTGCTGCTGCAGCGGCTGCTGTTGCTGCTGTTGTTGCTGCTGCTGCTGCTGCTGCTGTGGCACCTGATAAACGATGTTCGTTTGCTGTGCTTGCGCATGCGTCTGTGACTTGACTGCATCGTAGCTGGGCGGCAGGTAGCCTGGCGTGCGATACTCACCAACTGTTGCTGGCTGCACGGCTGGCAGCTGGGGTTGCTCAATAATCTGATCCAAAGGCAGCTGGTCGGGATTGCTGAAATCGTAGCCAGGTGGCAAGTAGCCAGGAGCATTATAAGCAGCTGCTGGTGCGGCTGCCTGAGGCAGCGTTGCTTGTGGCACAGGCTGAGGCAGTTGCTGAGGCAGTTGCTGGGGCAGTTGCTGGGGCAGTTGCTGGGGCAGTTGCTGTGGTGCTAGAATCTGTTGCTGTTGCTGGGAAACTGATTGGGGATTCGTAAAGTCGTAGCCAGGTGGCAGATAGCCAGAAGCCTGATAATTTGATTGAAGCGAATTGCCGCTAACAATGTTGCTGCTGCTGCTGCTGCTAGCTATGTTGTTGCTGCTAGCTATGTTGCTGCTGCTACTGCTGTCAATGCTGTTGCTGTTGGGTGGCAAATAAGCTGGTGCGTGATAGACCTGTTGCTGCTGTGGAAGCTGTTGCAACTGCTGTTGCTGCTGTTGCAATTGTTGCTGCTGTGGGTAGCTGACAATGGAAGCAGCTGTTGCTGTTGCTGTTGCTGTGGCTGTTGTCGTTGTTGTTGTGGTGGGCGGCAGATAATCATTGGCACTATAGACGGGCTTGGCGACCAGCTGTGTTTGTTGCTGTTGCACCAACTGTTGCTGCTCCTGCTGCTGCTGCTGATCTAAGCTGCTGGCAGTGGGTGGCAGATAGTCAGGCGCCTGATAGCCAGTGGCTGGCTCCGCGAATACCTGTGGTGCAGCAGCGTTCAAGGTGGTGGCAACTGGCGATTGATATGCCTGCTGCTGTTGCTGCTGCTGCAGTTGCAGGTTGGGCGTGGCAACAGTCGGCGGCAAATAGGCTGGCGTGCTATAGGCCACAGCTGGCTGAGGCGCCTGCTTGCGCTGGAAGTCATGCTGATAGTTGGATGGAAAAGGCACCGGAACAGACGCAGGCTGAACCACGGGCTGCACCACTGGCTGAGCCACTGGCTGCACCACTGGCTGTGCCGCTGGCAAGGGCTGCGCCTGCACTTGGCGCTCATCGCCAAAGCTCAGAAATGAAACATCCAAATTGTCATCGTTACCAGCGACAACATGTTGCTGCTGCTGCGGCTGCAACTGCTGCTGCTGCGGCTGTGGCTGCAACTGCTGCTGCTGTGGCTGCAACTGCTGCGGCTGCGCCTGCTGGTGTATGTGTATCTCCTCGTGGCTGGTCTGTGCGGGCGGCAAGTAGGCGTGGCTCTTGCCCTGATAGTGATTGTGCACCTCAAAGATCTGATAGCGCGAATTGCCGTAGCTGCTCTCCTCGAAGCGATTCGCTTGCTTCAGCCCCAAATCCGCGGCGCTTAGGCCGCATAGCGAGCAGGCGAGTAGCACCAATAGAGCGCCAATTATCTTTAAAGATCACAACAGAAACAGAAACAAAAAAATTGAGCACATTAAAAAAAAAAACCAACCAATTGGATAATATAGTAAATTATTTATAAATAAACACAATTTAGTCCTTTTTTTTTTTTTTTTTTTTTTTTTGTTTTGTTTGCTCTCAATGAGTTTTTCATTTGAGTTTTTGGCACTTTGAGTTTTGATTTTTGGCACTTGCACTTGCTGTTGTAGCTAATTATAGCAACTGTTGCTGCTGCTGCTGTTGTAGCTCCTGCACTTACATTCATCTTCACGTTGGTCGTGCTTAAGCCCTCGATGTCCAACCGTTCAATGATGGCCCAGCTTGACCCGGCCACGCGTTTTATACAAGGGCGCGCATTAGTTCAGCATTTGCTACAATCTCCATTGACAGTGGCTGTGCGTGCGAGCAGCGCCAGTGTGTGCATGTGTGTGCCACTGTGTGTGTGTGTGTGTGTGTGCGAGTGTGTGTGCGTGTGTCGCTTTAGTGCCATCCCAGTGCCATGGCCCAAACAGTTGCGCTGGCCTTTCATTAATTCAAACGGCGCCTGCGCAACATTTTTGGCAGCTGCGTTTCAAGTTTTATCTTTATCAGCCTCCGTCTCACTCTCTCTCACTCTCACTTTCTATCCGCGTCCCGCTCACACGCTCTCGCTCTCTCCATGTGGCGAGCTTCAAATGCAAATTGTTTATTGAGTTATTACAAATATTTCATTCGTAATGCCCAGAAACTCGACACTATGCCAATTCCGCGGATCTATGCCGTCTGCGGATGTTGTTTTATTAATGCCTACAACAGCAGCAACAGCAACAACAGCAACAGCAGCAACAGCAGCAACAACAGCAACAGCAGCAATAAGTTATGCCCAGGTTCTCTCTTTGGGTGTTGGAGTTGCATCATCATTTAACTAATTATAATTAATGTAACTCCAGTTTTCATTTATCAAATATCAATTTTCATGGCAATTTCTTAGCATATCAGTGAGATGGGGTTGTCCTTCATGGAATGGGAAATCGATATATAATCGAAAGTTGTTTTTTAAGCTCCTGATATGGTAAATTGATCATTATTACATGTTATCGATAATACATTCCACAGAGAAAAGGTATTGAGTGGATCTCGTAGAGCTCAGGCAGCAATCGATGCTTGGCAAACCTATCGCTATGTTATCGTTTCATGAGCCAGATTTTAGAAAGTCAAAGCGAAAGTAAGGTAGCTCTGCAATAGAGAAATGGAAATGGAATGGAATAAGCAAACGTTGATTTTACAATTAACGATAAATATTGTTATCGATAATGAGTTCGATATTGAGATGTATCAAGTGATTTTTTGATATGATCGCTGGTTGAGCTAGCATTTCGTTAGACCGTCGATAAATATCATTAATGCACGTTATCGATAACACTTTCGCTATCGATGTTTACCTATGCTATCGATTTATAAGCACGCAGTCAAGAGAATGGGTCAATCATTTGTATTATCAATTATTATCGTCCCAATAGATATTTGCTATAGTATTGATAACTTAAGATCTTACTAGCCAATATATTGAAAGTTATCGATAGATTTGATCATATGTGTAATATGGGTAACAAACTGTACAGATTAAATAATAAATGACTTAAGACTAACTAATTTTTAAAATAGATGTACTTCGAATGGATGGCAAACAGCTTAAGAATTATTCGACATTATTTTACAGGGTATTCCACTACATAGGTTAGTCTTTGGCTAAGTAAACATCCACATGCATATGGCTCATCCACTCCGATTGCGTCTTTCGAAAATATTTGCTAAAGTTTTCTGTCATTGCCCAATAATGGCGAAAAAATTATTATATCATTAGCAGCAATAAGGGTTTGGCTGACGGCGTGAGGCTGGATGAGTGGATCGAACAGAAACGGAGAGTCATAGTAGTCAGCTCTTAATGCCAGCCCATTAATTATGTGCTAATAAACGTGTCGGCTCATTAGGGAAGTGATATCGATGCAAACGGGTCTATCTACCTATCGACGATAGCCATAGCGATAGCCATCGACCATAGCCATATCTATAGCGCGGGCTGGGTGCGCCCTCTGTGCCCTCTGGGCCACACACTCTTCAGTCCATCGCATATAAATATTAATGAAGAAGCTTCATATGTCATGCATTTGGCACAGCCCCAAGCCCGGGCCTAGACCCGGGCCCGTGCATTATCTAATAGATCATAAATAGGCAGTCGTAGCAGCAGCAGCAGCAGCAGCATCATCAGTAATAATTTAATTAATTTTAATTAATATTCATTTTTTGGACATCTCTACCAATCATTAATCGGCTGTTCAAATAAATAAATACAAATTATACAAGTTTTCTAAATATTTTATGTAAAACTTTCATTGAGTTTTCCCAGCTCAGACGAGTTTAGAGTCAAAAATTGCGTACGATCCATATTTATATAGAACCTAAAGCTATTGACAATGAAATTCTCAAAATATATAATGGGCTATGGGAGGCGTGGCAGGCTCTATAAGTGATACTACTGATCAGCGGAACGAGTTGAGACGAGCTAGTCGTAAATCTTCAGATATATCAGCATGTAACAAAATTTTTAGTATATAATTGTGGGTACAATTGAATTAACACAGTATTAATGAGAACAAACGAGTATTGCTAAAATGTGAAATGATTGAAATGAATTGCATTTAATTAAATATAATTGAAAAGCCTTTAGACAACGTTAAATAGCTGTGAGTTCTTCAACGACTTTTAATCCTCTATCTACGTTCTACTCAAATTCTTTCATCTCGTATGAGGATTGTCATGCTATGAGGGCTATGTAAGCTGGATATTACACTGTATGCAATTTTCATATGGATACATATATGAATCTATTACTAAATAGCCAAGTTTTTCGGGTTCAATTTGTGCTAGAGATATACCTCGAAGTGACCCAACGAAGCATACGAAATTTGAAAACAAGTTTTTTTTAACTTAGGATTTTTGAGCGTATTTGATTATTATGCAACTGGACATCCTTTTTTTTTTTTTTTTTTTTTTTTTTTAAATATAAGATTTTTATACTGAAGATAAAGCTAAATTTTGGGCTTATATAGGTACACCTATTTAGACATTTACTACTCGACTGAGCTTGATTTTATAATTTTACATAGGGAAATATCTACTGAGAGAAACATTTTAATAATGAATATTTACAAAGCTAAAAAAGCAAATGTTCAAAAGTCGTTTGTGGTTTAAAAAAAAATATTTAATGTTTTTATTTACTATCCATACTTGAAGTTATTAAGTGCAATACAATTTGTTTACCTACAGATTTTGAGTTAGTTTCGAAGGTCAACATATGCACTTGGATCATTCAGGCATAAACATAGTAATAACCAACGCCTCCTGAACTGTGGGAGCACAAAGAGGAATTCATGACCATCCCCAATGTTAAACAATTGAGTATAGAAAACTTAGCTAAAACACTTCTGCCCAGTGCTTCAATTACACGCCGTGGGAAACTATGGTAATGCACATAAATGAAATATTATAAATGAATTGGAAACAAATGGAATTTTCAAATCATCACAAAGCGATGCATGCATCTCCATTTTAATCTCAATACGACTGAGACGATCGATTTAGCATGCCATAGCAGGAGGCCTTTCAAATATATGATATACTATATGTTCAATCGTCCATATATATCCATAATACATATAATATGTAAGTTATGCCATCTCTCACTAGTGCTCTAGATATAAATTTAGTTGTATTCAATAATATAAAGTAGTTTATAGTCAACTGAATAATATAGCTCCAACAGGTCTTAACTAGCCTCGTCTGTATATAATCTGAGTCATGTAAGCTCAACTAGTTGGGTTCTGCCCTGGAATCTCTCACTAGAGAGTCTAACCTCTTTAGGTAGTCTAACATATATAATGTATGTACTATGATATGTGATATGATAATATTATATATATAAATTATATATATAGTTGATTCCCAAACGATTTGCATTTAACCCGAGCTGAATTCAATTCGAGCTATTTCCAGACTAGCTTTTGTGATAAAAAGTTAACTCTGTGTCAAAAGTTTATTATCAATCTCTCTCTCTATATATATATATATATATATAGTTATATATGTATATACGTATATAACTAACATTCACTCATTCACTCAAAGGTGTGTCCAGTATATGCCATGCCATGCCATGCCATACGGATGAGCTTGCAATTATTTGGCCAATCTCAGTCAGATACGTCAATGCTTGACTAACTAACTAATTTAAACTGGTTGGCGCTTGGAAACCAGATCAAATTTCATTCATCTCGTGTATGCTTTGAGGACTGTATGCTGTGTGAATATTGAAAAGAGATCACGATACGGAAGGGGACTTTACATGGAAAGATACAGACACAGATTCACACACTCATTATGGTATCAATTTGTTGGCCACTTTCACTTTTCATTTCCGAATGCGTCTTCAATGTCAATCAATGGGCCAAACATCCAAATATTTTTCCAGCCAACCGCATGGACGGATGTCTTCCTCTTTCAGTTTGGCCCCATTCCGGTGTGCGTCACTTTCCCAGCGATTAACCTTGGCCCACGGCTCGTTATGGCCAGAAATGTGTTAAACAAATTATTTGTTTATCTATCGCTTGACGACTGTTGTTGATCTTTTTATTGGCAGTGGCATTGTGGTTATTGGCCAACTGCATTGATGGCATTCTATAGAAAACGTGGCCTCAGATCGCTGTCAATAAATTAATTTCAACTCTTTTTCAATCATTACAAATATGGATTACTAATATGCTCAGAGAGTTGCTGTCCCAACCCCCCCGTCGATTTGCATATGCTGGGCTATTTATCAATATCTAAGTGCCTTCGGTGTTAATGCCATCCGACATAACCGTGTAGTAGCTATTGTCTCTTCGGGTATTACAGCCCAATCCCAGACCCAACAATGAGGTAGCAACGGCAACACGCTTAAAACAATCGCCAAGACTTGCTTCAGCCAGCAAAAAACAAAAACACTTTCCATAGTCTTTTGTGATGAACACAATAACTAAAAACATAACAACAAATAAAGCCCACAAAAACAAAGACAAAGACAAAGCAAAGCAAACAAAATAAATATGTAAACACAATAATAATATACAAAGAAGAAGGAAAGGAAAAAACTGAATTTCCAACGAGGGGCAATCTTTCGATTTGCCAAGAGTTCGCATTGACTGACTAATGGATTGATTGAGTAACTGATATTTTTGATTGATTGATTGAAAATTTGATCTACTGATTGACGGAGTGACTGCTTGATTGATCGTCTAAATTATTAGATTGATTGATTGATTGACGATGATTAAGTAACAGATTGCTAACAGATTGACTTTTGCTGGCTGAATGAATGATTGATTAGGTGATTCTCTCATTTATTGACTGACTGAGTGACTGATTGACTGATTGACTATGTTGATTTATCGTCTGGTTCATTGATTGTCTTAATTATAGATTTGATTGATTGACAGATGATATATGCTAACAGATTGATTGACTTTTACTGGCTGATTGAATGATTGATTAGGTTATTCTCTCATTGATTGACTGACTGATCAACTGATTGACTATGTTGATTTTTTGTCTGATTGCTTGCTGATATAAATTATAAGTTGATTGATTGATTGACAGATGTTAACAGATTGATTGACTTTTACTAGCTGATTGACTGACTGACTCATTGCCTGATTATCTGAATTATAAGTTTGATTAATTAATAGATTAAGAGAGATAGGCTATCAACTATATGCTAACTGAATAATAGATTGATTGACTAACTGTTTTACTAGCTGATTGATTGACTGATTCACTGGCTGATTGACTGACAGACTGTTCGACTGACCAATTCATTATATGTTTCAATTTTTTGATTGACTGACTGATTGACTGAGCGACTGTTTGACTAACTTATAGCTTATGTGATTCCCAGGCTACCTACCTGTGACTGTGGCTGTTTTATCTTTAGTCATTGTGCATTAAATGAAATTCGTTCTTAATAATAGCGCCCTACTACGCGATTCTCATAAGCAATTGATAAGTTTTTCAAGAGTTAATTTAAAAGCAGTTTGTTTTTTAATTTATATATAATTTTTATAAACATTTGAGCTCAGCTTCGTTACAACTCTACGAACATCCCTCGTTTGACGCATAAGCTGACAGTCAGGTGGGCTTTTTTTTTTTTTGTTTGCTGCTGGCTGTTGGCTTGCACACCTTGCTGGCTCTGTCCCTCGATCTCTCACTCTCTCTTTCTTCCTCGCTGTCCCGGTTTCTTTGTGTGTCTCTTTTTATCAGCTTCCATCTAATTGATACATAAAGCATTGGCAGCCAAAGCGGCGGCGGCATCGATGCGTATTTTTGTTTTGTTTTGGGGCGTGTTTGTATTTCATGTAATATTTGAGGCTTGGAAGTTGAGATTCATTGATTGGTGGCATTTATTATGCATGCTTCACATGCAAATCTGAATGGATGTGGAAACATACACACACACACATACGCACACACACATGCATAATTAATGCGTAAATACAGCTACAGGTATGGGGAGGCCGAGTGGAGAGAGGAGGGTAGCTATAAAGTGGAGCGCAATCGGCCAATGAGCTGATCTTTAATGGTTTTTTAATGCGCGGCAAACGTATTGGCATCATTTCGCCTCCCCCATCCCCGCATCTTGTTGCTCTTCATAATTAGCATGCAAATTGTGCTGGCTGCTTGATTAACCCCAATTACATCAATCAATCGGTCAATCGGTCAGTCAGTCAGTCAGTCAGTCAGTCAGTCAGTCAACGCATTTTCAAATGTCCTTCACGGCGAGCTGCTGTTGCCTTTCACCCGCAGCTGCGTATGGAAAATCTTCTTCTTCTTCATTTAATATTTTTTTTCTACTTGTCTTTGACATGTGTGTGGCCTGGCCGAAACGCTAGCGGCTAAAAACGCATCAAAGCCTAAGCACGCGCGCGTTTTCGATTTGCATTAAATCTTATTTTTTCTGACGATGTTCGCAACGTTTTGTTATTTACTAATTGCCATTTATTACTATTTATTTGTCATTAACAAATTGAGCAATTTACAACAATGGCTAGTCAGGGTCAGCCCAACAATGTGAGCTACTCGACTCCACAAATACCCTGTAATCAGAATTATGTCAAATCACGTTGAGATCAATATAAAGTTTAACCTATTTATATAGATTAAAGTCGAAATTATATATAAATATATATATATTTTATAAATGTTGGATTTGGTATAGAACTTAACGAAGTTTCTATATTTGATTCAGAGCTCGCGTAAAATATTTTGTGAGCTGTGAACATGAGCAGAAGATAATACAAAAAATATTTCTATGGGTCTGTTTTGAGATTTCTTTGGCTCACATAAACTAAAGCTTGGAACAACATTTGTAAATGGATTTATCTTGGTACTAAAAAGCGTGTTCGCCATTTCATTTGGCATATATTGAGCCATTTGGGCTATTTACAGGGTATTTCACATTCGTATACTGTGATTCATAAACCAGCAGTCTGTCTCCTTCACTCTCGCAATCTCTCATTCCCTCACTATATTTCTCTGTCTTGCTCTATATTTTTTCTTTCTGCATCTCTCTCTCTCTCTCTCTTTCTCTCCCTCTTTCTCACTCCCTCTCTACTCCTCTATTCTTATCTCTACTCTTTCTCTCCCTTCCACATTTTAGATTCATGAATCCATTTAGTCTCACACCAACTTACAGGGTATTCCATATTCGTATACTGGCAAGCTCTTGTCATCTAGCACAATTTTCATAAATCACTTAGACAATGGCCATCAATAAAAGAGCTCTCTATCTCTATTTGTCTCTCTCTCTCTCTCTCTCACTCTAATAAATCAGCTTAGAGCCATAAACCAAAGCTATCCATATCTACCGCTCTCTCTCTCTCTCTTTCTTGCTCGCTCTATCTGCGTCACAAAAGGCATGCAAGAAAAGACTTTGCTGTCATTATATCACCGTGAGACAAAGATCCTTCAGCTGTGTGGCAATCCAGAGATTTATAGATCCATTCAGCATGGAAGACAGAGGCCCTCGAGCCCTTGGTTAACAGTTGACAGTATTTATATTTATTGGTTATTCGTGAAATATTCGGTAGTCTTTTGGCCAAGTTGCGACTTTGCAATCTTTTACATAATACAACATAATTTCTTTTCTTTCTTCCGTTACATAGGAAATTCGTATATAAAAAAAAGTTAAACAAAAAATGAAGGAAATTACAAACAATTTCTCAGTTATGTACAGTATATACAGGATGCTGGGATGGGGGGCTGTGCCTGGAGCCTTAGGCCCAGCCGCCAGCTGGCTGCCAGCCACCGCCGCCGCCGCCGCCACCACCACCCGAGGACCAGCCACCGCCGCCGCCGCCACCACCACCATGTCCGCCACCGCCGCCGCCGCCGCTGCTCAGCTTAATGATTTTGATGACCTTGGTGGCACCACCGCCGCCTCCGCCGCCACCACCTGAAGACCAGCCGCCGCCTCCACCGCCACCACCAGACGACCAGCCACCGCCGCCGCCGCCGCCGCCAGCGCTACCCAGGCTTATGATCTTAATGAGCTTTATGTCGCCACCGCCGCCGCCGCCACCACCGCCTCCTCCAGAAGACCAGCCACCGCCGCCTCCGCCGCCGGAGGACCAACCGCCGCCACCACCGCCTCCGCCTGAAGACCAGCCACCGCCACCGCCACCGCCGCCGCCGCTCTCTGTGATGACTTTGATGACCTGCACATCACCACCGCCGCCACCACCCCCGCCATGTCCGCCGCCGCCGCCGCCGCCGGATGACCAACCGCCACCGCCGCCGCCGCCACCACCACCCGAAGACCAGCCGCCTCCCCCGGGCTTGGGCTTGGCCGTTACGCTGGCTGCTCCAATCAGCAGAAGACACACGAAGGCCTGCAGGAGAGAGAAGAAGAATGTGACTCTTAAACTGTGTACATACAATGACTCTATAACTGTGAGTGTGTATGTTGCGCTAATGGTAATTCTTGAGTGTGAGTGAGAGAGCTGTAACATAACCAATGACTCTTAAACTGTTGAGCTAGTCTAGCTTCGCTGTGACTCAGAAACTGTGACTGTAAGTCTACCAGTTGATGTCGAACTGTTGCACAATAACTGCGGAATAAATCTAGCCGAGGGCGTGTCAAACGGTGACTCTTGCGTTGTAACTTTAAAACTGTACTTTACTAGGAGTAATAAACAGGTAGTGACTCGAAAACTGTGACTTGTGCTTGTCAACCTATGATCTAACTTTTGCTTTTATAACTTGGACTGTTAATTGTGACCGAAACAGTGACTCTTTCAGCTGTTACTGTGATTGATATTAAGATATAATAACGCAGCTATCGAACATAACTATCGATTCTTAAACAGTGACTCGTAAACCGTGCAGTGATCAATGACTCCAATTTGTGACTCTTAAACTGCGCACTCTGACAAACTACATATGTATATTTCCTTTGCTAACAAAATGCAGTGATTCTAAAACTGTGTGTCCTGAATGGCTCACTCTAGGCTCTCTTAGAGAGTTGCTATTGCTCGCAAACTTTACATTTCAAGCTGACACATTAAGTCAAAATCCACAGTGACTGTCAAACTGTTCAAGAGTTACTTTCAACGATGACTCTCGAACTGTACTACTAACACAAAGTCGTGTATCTACTCAACAGTCACTTAGCCTATGGTATCTTCCGCACAGTGACTCCCAAACTGTAAACTGTAAAGTCAAACGGTCTTCTATTATAATCAATGTCAAACTGTACTTAAGCTGCTCGACAGCCAATATGACTGTGGCGCTCAAACTGTAGATTTATGTTCACAACATTTTGCTGTGACTCTAAAACTGTTCGTTAAAGCGCTGCGCGCGCAATCGCTCTGAAACTGTACTATCAATATATATGTACATATATTGACAATATATTGAAGAAAAAAAAAAGGATGTCAAGCCAAGACACATGTCCTTAACGCGATCACAAAACACAAAGGCAACAAGAATAAAAAAACAAACAAAAAAAAAAAGGAAAAAATAAGTCAAATTTATCGACTGTTGCACGCGGCGTATGCGGAATTCTTGTTCATTGCTCAACATTGCGTATGCGCAACACAATGGCACCGTACGTACTTTCATGGCTGCACTTGTACGATTATTTGAATATATTCTCAGTTGGCTTTGAGTTGTTTGGTTAAGTCGGTTAGTCCTGCGCTGGCTGCTTTGACTGCGCCACGAATCGACACTGACATGACCACAGCTGGCGGCCCACACTTTTATAGCGACTAACCAAATGGCAGGCAACTGGCGGCACATTAACCGGAAAAACGTTTTTCCAAAAACCATTCGCCGCTGCATTCGCCATGCGGCCCGCGGGGCAGCGGCGGAGGCGGCGGCGGGGCGACGTCGGTGGTGCGGCTGCAAGGGTTTGTGTGTTGCGATTTTTTCCCGCCGTTGTCATGATTTCTATGTGTGAGTGTGTGTGTGTGTGTGTGTGTGTGAGTGTGTCTCTGGCAATATGGGCCAAATGCTGCCGCATCATTGCCATTAGGCGAAAGTGAGACTCAGTCAGAGTCACACTCAGACTCTGGCATAAAATCCAGCCAGACGCCACCCCCCCTCCTGCCGCCTGCTGCGCCCCCATGCTCTCGTCATAACAGACAACAAACAGTTGCTGCCGCATCTGCAGCAGCAACAGCAACAGCAGCAGCAGCAGCATCTGCCAGCGACTTGTTTGCGTTGCATCCGCAACCTCAGCCGCAGTCGCAGCCACCGTCGCCGTCGCCGTCGCCGCCACTGTAGCCGCAGCATTAACTCTGCACCTTTCTCATTACGTAAGCAACGGCTGCTGCTGTCTTTTGGCTTACAACTTGTTGCACCTTTTTTGGGTAGTTTTTATTGTTGTTGTTGTTGTTGTTGTTGTTGTTGTTGCTGTGGTCATTACACCACTTACATCTGCCTGTCATCAATATCCATTATTGGGCGTTGGCCGCTGCTTAGCATATGCCGCGTATGCCACACGCCGTTAGGCGATTGCGCATACGCCGCGTTGATCGCAATGCGAATCGCCTTGCATTGGCATTAATGCCAAAGTGCAACTAGTCGCTCGCCCCCAGCAGCTGCCCTGAGGGCCATGTTGCAAGCAAACCTTGGTCTAAACGCTTTCTAGCCAACCGCAAACCCATCAACTCGCCATTGACTTGAATCGATGCACAGCAGCTGCCTGATCCAGCTGAGTTTGTTGGCGAAAAACCACATTGAATATGTAATCAAAATGAATTACATAAATTAAACATTACATACGTATATTAATTATGCTAATTTAAGCTCTAAATAATTATTTAAATAAAAAGAGATAATTTATAAGAATTGTATATTAGATTGTAATTCATGTGTACATTCAATACATGATGTGGAAAACCACTGAGCAAATTATTATTATAATTTCACTTTCATTTTCCCACTACAAGTTTTGATCTCATTGCTGCAATTATTGACGAGTTTGATCAAAAATACCATGTCTCTCTCTATCTCTCTCTCTCTGTCTTACTCTCTCTCTCTCTCTCTCTCTCTGTCCAACTCTCTCTTTCTCTCTCTCTCTCTCTCTCTCTCTCTCTCTCTCTCTCTCTCTCTCTCTCTGTCTCAACCACTCTATCCCTTTCCCTTTAATATTCTCCTTCCACTTCTCCTTCTCCTTGTTCTCTTCTCAACATTCCCTTCTAGCTTTTTACTCATTTTTTAACTTTTCTTCTCCCTTCCCTTCTGCTTTTCCCCATTCTCCTCTTTGCTTAAGCCCACTTCATTTTAATTAATTAAAATTCTCTGATATTCTTTTACAAACTCTTTTCTTAATAAATTTATTTCTGTTTTCCTTGTATTTATTTTTGAGTGCTTTCCTTTTATCTTTACTTTTTCCTAGGTTTTCTTCTCTTATCTTCCCACTTGTCTTCTCCATAATAATCTATTCTCATATCTTCGCTTGCGCTCTATGATCTTATCTTCTTCGATGCTATGCTGTACTTTTTCAAAGTAGAGCACAACCTTTCTCATCTTGTTCTATACAGAACTTGACAAAAGTATATATGCTGCTTAAATATGCTGCTTATTTCAGTAAAAAGAAATTAAATTCAAGAGTCATTAATTTATCTTTTTAGTTTTTTTATTTAATATATATATAATATAATATTTAATAATATATACAATGCGTTTGAGTTCGTTCAATAGATATTATTATTCCAATTGCCTTAATTATGATAATAAATGCCTTAATCCATCCCTGTATATATGTAATTTTATTTCTATTTTACATCTAGACCCATTTATTTATTTATTTTTATATGCTTATTCTGTAATGTTTCCAGTTTACTTGATTCCATTCTGATCTAAAGTTGTGATCCGTTCCGCCTTAGCCTGTTTTTATTGGTATTATTATTAAGTGGAAACAGCAAATCACTGTAAAATATAGCTGCATCTAGTATAATATGGGATTTACACGATTTATTGTTGTATGTACATATATTGTTGCATGTTCATATATATTGTATAAGAGCCAAAAACCCCTACAAGCACAGCCCAAGAATTTAGTTAGACCAATTATGTTTAAATTAATTAAATATTTTAAATTAAGTAAATAAATCGATTTAATTATATTTAAATTAAATTTGTATCTTTAAATTAACAAATATTCAATTTAAAAATTATACAAATTTTTCTATTATATAAAAAAAAATAAAATAAAAAAAAAAAACTGTTGTCTAAAACATTAATTTCCAATTAAACATTTCCAATTAACTTTACTCTGAAGAGAAAGGAGTGTGAAGTGTAATTTAGTTGAGCACCTGAGACAAGTGCCACAATTATGATAAGGCACACCTTCACTGCTGATAAGATATGCACCGGGATCTGGGCGCTTTACAAAAAGTCTAGGGAAATTAACTAACTGAAAAGCTAACGAGCTGCAGGCCATTTGAATGCCTAAATGTCTCTCATCACAATGCAAATGAAATAACGATAGAGCCAAGTTAAGCTATTGGGATGCACGTACCCCCTCACTAGCCATCTAACCAGCTCACCCCCCTCCCTCCCCCACGCTGCCGCTGCTTACGCACGAAGCGAATTGCAAAATGGAAATTGTCAGCGAAATAAAATGCAATCATAAAATGCAATCAGTCGCCACTTATACAACACACGTGCGACAGCGTGCAGTGGGGCGGGGAAGGGTGCGGGGCCAGAGGGCGGCAAATAGAAATGACAAAACTGAAAAGCGTCGGAAAACCTCAAATTGCAGCCAAAGCCAAATGAAGTGCAGCGCAAAGCGATGAGAGTCATCCCACAAGTCCTAATGCCAGTTGCAACTCATTGAACTGAAAACGAAGCTCAAGCAGATGCAAAGCTATACGTATACATACATACATATACATATGTATATATAATATACATACACATAAAGAGATTGAAAAGCATAAAGAAAAACAGCAGTTAAGTCGATTGCCTCAGCGCCGTCTCTCACCTGGCAAACAGTCAATGGCAGCGCGTTTCTCATGCTGTTATATATAGTAGATAGTTTGTCAAAATTGCTGGGAGTAAGAGCCAGAGCCATAGTCATAGCGACGGAGTTACAAACGCAAAAGATATATGGGCAATATCATAAATATCATAGCCGACACTTTGTTTGAACATCTGACATAAATATATTTTAGTTAAACCAACGAGCTTCTCTATAGATCCTAAGTTCAAATGGAAAGACTATACATACATATATGTATGTAAACCTATTTTGTATCACTGTGGTAAAGGTTTTGCCCATGGTCCAATTCAATTATACTCGTTTATGATCTACAAATAGTAAATTGATTATAGCCATTATAATTTATAAATATTATATGTTCATCATGTCCGTCCGTCCGTCAGTCTATTTTGCTACTATTGAAGCTAGAAAGCTGCACATTTGGAATATATGTATATATATATGTACGTATATATCTCGTCTTTAAAAGTCATGTTCACACATCATACGATCGTTCCCCTTCAATTAACGTAATTTCAGATCATATATATGGTAGAGGAGAAATACTATAACTTTAGATGCTAAATACAGTCGAGGCTCAATAATTCGTACGCCGCTAAATCGAAAAAAAATTCGATCCCCTTGAAAGGAATTCGCTCTCAATAATTCGCGACAATTTGAATTTCTGTGTAGAGCGAAATAACACAGATCCCCTTGCCATTTCGAATTATCGGGATTCTACTGTATTTAAAATTTGTAATTGGCTTACGAACATAGACAATACACAGTTATTTATTTATAATGCCATTTATAATGCCATTACTATTAACCTCCTCTGATGATGCTTCCCCATTGAGGGGTGTGTCGTGTCGAAATCGAAATCATATAATTTCCATAATTTTTAATGCCGAGCCTAAAACTTAAAATTACATTACTCTAAACTTCTTCTAAGGATTGGTCGAAAATCATATATCCAACGCAACTTGAATATAAGAAATCGTAAACACTGTAAAAATAAACATTGATAGAAGGGAGGCATATAGTGTTAGATCGCATTTCTTATATATGTAGATTGATTCGAAATTGAGCAAGTCCAGCTCATCATATCTTTATCGATAAACATGGATGCTAAGTCAATTCTCTTAAGAATTGTAATGGATTATAAAACCCACTTATTTCATAATTCCAGGGTATGCGCCAGCTAGAGCTCCCGCCCACTCGCCCATTTGTCCGTCTCTCTTACATATTTCAGTGCATTTTAAAAGCTGCCAACGAGGAAGCAGCATCCAAAATCGCGACAACCTCGACCTATGCAGCATGCCCGTATACATGCATATATGTATATATGTGTGTGTGTGTGTGTGTGTGGCAAGTGAGCGGCAGCTGCTGCTGCTGCTCTGTAGTGTAGTGGAGCAGCAGGTCAGGCCGCGTCGCTCAAATTGCTGTTGCAGCACAAATTGTGGCTCATTTAAATGAACACTGTCATCGTAGTTGAAACAAAACGTGTTTTCTATTGTATTTGTTTACAAATACCCTGTACACATTGTTGGCTTGAGGACGAATAGCTTAGCTCTGAAAGATGGCCTAACTGTATAAACCAATATATGTATTATTATATTATTATATTCACTATTGCTGCATTCAACTCTCAATTGAAATTGAAAAATTAACAGCTTTAAATATACTCAAGTTAAGTATTTAATATCCCACGCAGTTCAACTGTTAGTCGAGCATGCCCTTTCGCTTTGCACTTGCTCTTCGCGACGGCTGAACTATGAGCCCGAAGACGAAATTGCCGCAACGAATTCGCCGTCGCTCAGCTGAGCCCAGCTAAGCCAGCACTGCACTCTTCAGTGTATGTGTGTGTGTGTGTGTGAGTGAGTGAGTGAGTGTATGCTTGCTCTACTGCTCTGGCGCTCTTGTTGATACAGTTGTTATACTATCGTATTGTTTCATATTTTTATTTTCTTTATTTATGTATGTATGTGAATACCATTCGCCGTCTGGCCCTGTGGCAGTTTGTACGAACTGTAATAATAATTTTGATCGAAATTTGATGATTTCGGTGCAAAATGCCACGGCAACAACAACAACTTCATATGTATGCCATCCCTGTCTCTCACAGTGAATCTTTTAGCTTCCGCCTATTAGGTAATCTCTAGCTGCTTCCTGCAAGGCGAGCGGGGAACAACAACAACAACAAGAGCGTGGGGCATCCTGCCTGTGCCATAACAAGCGTACATAATTTATAGCGAGCGTTAATAGCAACCTTTTATGGCGCTATTCTCCGCACTCGTCTTCAGGCATTGCACAAGCCACCAAAACACAAAACAATTTTTGCAAACAAAAATTCTAATAATTTGCAATTTTCAATTAAGAGTTTTGTTGTTGCTTTTGTTTTTAAGAAAAACATTCTCTTTGTTTTTAATGGGTATGGAGCGTGGAATTGGCTGGTGGCGCCAAGCTTTTGGAATACATGTGAGAGGTTTTTTTTTTTTTGGCGTGAAAACAAATGTAATAAAATTACGATTTAAAAAAAAAAATAATATATTTATATTTATGTATAAATGTAAGTGTGGTGTGTGTGTGTGGTGTGTGTGTGTGTGTGTGTGTCTGTTTGTGTATTACTATGGTAGAGATAGTTTCGCTGCTCCAGCTGCTTCCATTGTTACCCTTAGAGGCGCCCATAGCGCGCCTGGCTTGGCTTGCGATCTGTGAAGAAGTTGCGCAACACCAGGATTTGGACGAGGCCGATCAGGATGACGCTCGCCGTTTCCAATGAAGCCCAGACCATTACACGCTGATTGATGTCCTCGGCGCGTTTACGTCCTTGGGCCTCTCTTAGGCGATGGTGCGTCTGGGCGTCGAGTATGTCGTTAAGTGCCTTGTGTATTGCCTGAGCCGACGTCTCCATTTGGGTTAGCACCGTGGCGTGCTCGTCAACGCCAGGCAGGGACGGCTCGTCACCTACCTGAAAGTCCACGTAGACGATTTTGTGCGAGAACGCAGAGAATTTATTGCTAAAACAGGCCGTATAAACACCAGTTGTCTCGGCCGTAAACTGATGGCTATCGAAGGTCGCACGCTCCAGCGAATAGATAATCTTATTCTGTGGATCCTTCAGTGTCACATCCACATCCTGCTGGCCGCCGGCCGATACCTGAAATTCGAAATATGCGCTCGTATTGCGTTTGATCTCCTCGTAGAAGCAATCCTCGGCATTGTCCGCCAAATCGAACGTGAATTCCACTGCTGCGCTGCCCTGCAGCAGAGCCATTAGCGCTACCAGAGACAGCCACAACATTGTAGTTAGCTTTTTGTTATTTCTGCTCTTGCTGATGTTGGTGTCGTTCCTTTGGCTGTTCATCTGCTCGTTTCGCATCCTTACTATCTAACTTCCTCTATTTGGTATGCAGCTGGTTAATAACTAAATGAAAAATTTGCTGCCCCACAGCAGCTGACTTAAGGCGTAAGTTTTCCGGGCGTTCGCTGCAATCTTCGGTTTCGGCTTTTTTGCAAAACACGTCCACACAAACACAGGCACACACACAGAGAGGAATTAGAAAAATTGAATTATTATAATTCTAGTCAATTGTGCGGCATGCGCGGCTCTGCTTACCTGTTTAGAACGTTATTGCAGCTGTTTTTTTTCGCCTGACTTTCGCCTCGGTGGTTAACTAAATATACCAATAATAAAATAATTGAAATTAATTCGTCGTAAGACACGAACCAAATGTTCTGTCAACGTGTCAACACTTTTTTTTGTGTTCTCGTTGTGCAGCACTGGGTGAGCAGAGTTGCAAAGAACACGTATGCCTTGGCTAGTCAGCGGTTATGCTGGGATGACTCCAGACTTATTTCAAATGTGTTTCACTTGGCTGATAATTCCGATGAATATTATATAATAATTAATCGTAAAATATATATTATATAATAATTAATCGTAAAATAATTAAGAGTTTCAATCGAAAGTAACTTTTAGGTTTATAAATGTATAGTTAATTTGTTCTTGTTTGACAATTACCAATAATATCATAATATCAAAACCCACTCTTTTGGCTTACCAAAATTTACAACCACATGATAATATCAAAGCACACTCTTTAGGTCAAAAACTTTCTTAAAAATGTACACGATATATCAAGTTTAAATAATCTTCACCTATGTTACATATACAACAGCGTAGTAAGTGTCATGCTGGCACAAATGAGTTACTCGAACAGCATGCTAACATATCATAAACAGAGAATATTGTCATATCATAACGACAATATTGTCTTTATAATTTTACAACACTTTGCTGTGAAATTGAAACTTCAAAAAATTCAATCCAGTTTTTGCTTTCTCAGAAATTATCTCGACGCAGAAAATTTATTAATTCGCAATGGTGACCGTGGTGGACCTTAAGGTCGATCGCAATCTTTTGTGTCCCAATTTCGATGGCTATAAGCTCTCCTTCGATTCGGTACCGATGTTGCGCCAAAGCTTCCGTCACTACAAGGCTTTGAAATACGATCTATACAAGAATCACTATTCGCTGCTGCACACCGAACTGTTTGCCAAGCACAATTTGCTTACCGCCGATCCCTGGGCCCGACGTAATACCTATTTTGTAAATACAAACCATGAGGTGGTCCACTGCTCGTTTGACGAGATACGCAGCGATGCACGCAAGCCGCGCATTGTTTACAAAATGCAGTTCGAGGATAGCGGAGATGGCTATTACCAACCCGGAGACTATAATTATAGTATGCGTTTCATCTCCGAGAAGTATTGTGTGCTGTGCGACGGCAGGCAAAGCTATTTCCTGCTCGAGACGGGCGATCGCAGACGCCACACAGAATGGCGTCTTGTGACCAAGACGCATATAATACCTTCCTCAGAAACTCGTGGCTTTGTGCTATACGATGCCAGGCTGGACATTTTGCACGCTCGCAAGCAAGTCTCTCTGGTTGCCGGGCATGTGACGCGCTCCAAGTCGACGGACCGGCATTTGATGCTGCTGAATTGGTCATACTGGATGCTGCCAAATATTAAGGAGGAAGTCTGGTTTTATGTGCAGCGCGAGCAGCTACAGACCGTAGGCTCTGTCTATTACTGTGCTTTTGAACCGCACTCTGAATCCATCATAGTCTGCACCGATGGTCAACTGAAAACTGCAGAAGAAGCTCGTGTAGAGACTCTACAGGAGCTGAACAAATTTAGTTGTCCCCAATACAAGTGGACCCAGACAGAACGCGATATCGTCGTGAAATTCGATGTGCCAACAGGCACCAACCTACACAATTATAATTTCAAATACTCCTCCACCCACATCAATTTTAAATTGTACGAGCAGACGCTGCTGGAGGGCACACTCTATGCGCGAGTCAATGGTGACTTCACCATCATTAACTTGGATGAAAACGGACTGACGCTAAAGATGATCAAAGAGGAAGCATTTTTATGGCCGCAACTAATGCAGTGCGAGGATGAGGAGGAGGAGGAGAAGCTCTTTGACGAGGAAATCGGGGATGTCGCGGAAGTCGAGGAAGAGGCAGAATCATCAGAAGCGGAGCCAGAACCTCTGCCCATACCAAATTTGGAGGAGCCTATTGAGGAATGCGACCTTGCCATGGCCACAGACGAACCGGAGATTCAAATGGGCAAGCATAAGCATATGGAGCACATTATTCCTTGCCTAATCACAGTTATTCTCTACGACTTTCTTTTCAGTTCGCTATAATCTCCACGATTCAAAAATTACACACAAAGTTTCCTTGGGGAATATGCCGCCGCTCTTCACCACCTCGCTGCGTGCTGGCTATCCTCCGGCGTTCGCCACACGCGAAGGCGTGGACGCCTCCCTATGGCTGCAGTCCCACCAGCCAGTCAATCCGTCAGGTTGGAAGGTCCGCCACGAAGGCAATTTACATGCCTTTGGCTATGTGCTGGCCTCCAAGCAGCAGCGCAAATTCATTGACTGCTGTCCGGACCTAGAATATGCAGTAATTGCGGAGACCCGCCGCCATGTCTTCATCTATAAGCCGCGTAACGAATCCGCCGGAGGATTGCGCAATCGCAACGGGGCGCAGGTGATCATTGGCAAGCAACATTTAGTTACATTGAACGATGATTTCGGTGATATACTAGGCATGGCGACTGCCCCGAATCTGATTACTTTGCTCACCGCGAAAGCTGTACTCTTTCTCTCGGTCTAACATAAACAAAACAGAATGAAATAAATGTATTTACATATAATGTGCATTTATTTACAAACGAAGTGTGTTTTGGCTTTTACCACTATCCATATGTATATATGTACATAGTTCGTGCTTGTACTTTAGCGACATGGAATTTGAAATTCGGTCTCAGCGCGCGCGCTTTGCAACACTATCAGCTGATTGCGCTGCCATTTACACCCCATGGTGTGTTAGAGCATTAACATTGTCTGGCAGCACTATCCGATTGAATGCGTACAACCTTTTTTTTTTTTTTACATAAATAGCCGCGCGCAGTGGCAGGTTTTCTAGTTTGTTTTTCTTTTTTTTTTGGAATTTTGTGTTAAATATCGGTGTCGCTATTATTACGCTGGCAATTAGAAATTAACAACGAATAACAAAATAGCTGAATATTTCGAAGCACGTTAATATCGCCATTCAATTGAGTTTCAAGTGAAGTTTCTAGTAAATAATTGTGTGTGTGCATTTTAGTGGAATTGTGAAATTTTTGGTAGCGGCTCCATAAGACTTCGGATCGTCAGAGAGAGAGAATATTAAGCAGTAAGCAATCGGATCGCTAGCGCACTCACACTCATTAAACACGCACTCACATGTACGCAGCACACAACACATTAAGCAGCAGCGTCTTCTAATTAGAACAACTCGGTCATACACACATGCAAATGTAGAGGCCCATAGACAACCTTACATATGTACACACGCACACACATGCATAAACAACAAAATAGAAACTGAAAGGGACAGCCGCAACATTTGTGCTGTTCGTAAATATATACAAATTCTTATGCATCTATTATTAAGAAATATTCAAATTCTGCATGAGCTTGCAGTCGCAGTCGCAGTCAACGCTGATGTCACAGCTGTAACGGAAGTTACATAGTAAACGCAGTGCAAAGCAAATCAAAAAAAAAAAAAAAAAAAACACGCGGCCTGCACATTTTGTTGTTCTCACACACACATATATGTATATTAATTTATAGACAAATCTAAATGAAATTATATATGAATTTCTTTTGTTTACTAAGCAAGTTGTGAAATCGTGGCAAAACAATCTACTGCAATAAATCGGAACAACAACAAAAACAGAAGTGCAAATTACAACAACAGTTACAACTATTAGTAGCGACAAGTCGGAAAGAGCTAAGGCATCGCTCGTCAAATTGTCGCTGGTCAGTTGAGATTGGCCTTTGATTACACAACCAACAACAACAAAAGGAACGGCAAAAAACGAATGAAAAAAAAAAAAAACAATATTCAATATATCAGAATTAAAACGTGTGTGAAAAACATCAGCACGCGGTCGGTCACATACACGCGGTCCCATACACACACAAACACGCACACACACACACACACAGACAGCGCGAGCGCGCACGAGTAACAGAGACAGCGTGAGTAGCACAGCCAGTAGGAGCGAGTACAGCAGCACCAACAACAAACAGGTCATTTTGTTGTTCAGCCGACACCGACGCTGACGCCGACGACGCCGCCGCCTTTGGGCTTTATTATTGCTTCATATTCCAAAAGCGAGAGCAACAGCTGAGCAGCAGCAGTAGCATAATACAGCAACCTACCCAGAAATCAACCAACAACTTTTATTAGAAAGAAGCACGCGTTTGTTGCTTTTGGAATTCTTCTTCTACAGCATTTGCCGGTAAGTGTTTATTGTGCATACAAACATAGTTCTGATGACAATATAAGCTTTTAAAATGCACTTAGGGTATGAGATTCTTTTTTTAAACAAGTGCGTAATTTCGCAGTGGGTTTGAGTTTCTATTGATTTTCGTTTGAAATTATATGCCTTTTACCGTTGCTTTTGTATGTTCTCGCCGTTGTTGTCCAATTTTCAAGCCGTGCGCAACCTTGACATTCGCTTTCCATACCAATTTATGTGCATACCAATTGATGTGTGAGTGTGTGTGTGTGTGTGTGTGTGTGTGGGTAAGTGTGAGAAGGGTGCAGCCGCTACTTACATACAGTCCAATTGAGTTGGGTCACTGCTAGTCTTGAGACTAGAAGCTTCTAATTTGATTTTCTAATCAATTTGAAAACTTATCGCTGCATACATACTTACCTAGATATGTATGTGTGCTCTTAAATATCGTACGCGTTTAATTAAGTGCCAGTCACATTTCTGTGGAGTCATTCACTTGCTAAAATCGTCTGCTTTGTTTTTTAAAACTGAGAACAGCGTGATTTTTTTTTTGTGTTATTCTTGATCACTAATTGATAAAGTGCTTCACAAAACACGCATGCGCACATACACATATGTATTTTATACATTATGATAATATATACGGCAGCTGTGTCGTCACTGACCCATTACTCATGCACAAGTCGCGTGTGATAAACGAAAAGTAAATTACTTTTTAAACGGGTTTATGCATTGCTGCGGCTTTAGCTAAAAGACCTGCGAGTGGATGAGAGAGAGAGAGGGAGAGAGAGGGAGAGAGAGAGAGAGAGTGGTAGTGATGGGGGTCGAGCGGGTGTAAGTTGTGACTTTGAAGTTCAAGGCACTCCGCCGAGAAAATAAAAGTTGAGCGAAAGCGAGAGCGAGAGCAAAAGAGCGGCGAGATCAGCTCACACACTCATACGCATACGCACCAATCAATGTATTGATAGCTGCTATGGATTGCGCTCTCTTGCATATGTGAGAGCTACAATTTCACCACAAGAACGAACAACAACAACAACAGAAACTATAGATAACCGAGTAACAACATCATGCGAATTAGCATATTATGTCTGTGTGCTACAAGACTCGCAAATATCATCGTGAGTCAGCACATTAGGCGCAAACTCGCCATGACTCACGACAGGGCACGGCACCGCACGACACAAAACGTAACAGCACGGCACGACACGACATGACACGACACGACACGAACGTGGTTGCACTTGGCCTCGCTAATAACAGTTACGCATAGACACGATCGATTACTATCGCAATCAATGTTGATTCCCCTTACAGTAAACGCACACATACACCCAAAGGCACATTAATAGATAACTATTTATTATATATGCATGTATGTACTGGTGTATATAAATACATGTATCTGTATGCATAGTTTTTATCTATTGTGTGCAAAAGTTGACCTTGTCATTTATTAGTTCATTAAAGTCTATCTCAATGCCCCGTGGTGCCGCCGTCCATGGGCTAATCGCTTTGTCAAATGACGACGCAAAAAAAAAAAAAAAAAAAAAAAAAAAAAAAATAACAATAATTATGATAACAAAAAAATAATTACAGAACTAAAGGACTTTCCCGTTTTTCCGTGCGCATGTGAATTTTAATAATGTTCATTCGAAAACAAACATCAATAAAAAAATAAATAAATATAATAATATATTCACAAACATAACAAATGAAAAAAATATTAGACAGGTGTCTCGAATTAATAATACTCTATAGCGATTAAATACATAATACATACATATATTCGTATTTATTAAAATATCAAATGTCATAATTTTTATGGGTTTTCTAATAATGGTTTTTCATATATTTAATCTTGGCTCGAAAGTATATTAAAAAAAAAAGACAAAATTTTTAATACATCTTTTTTTTTTTTTTTACTTTATCAGGCAACGTACGCTTAAGAACTTTCTCGAATTCTTCAAGGCTCTCAGAAAAATAAATATAATATTCATTGTGGTGAAATACCCACATATGTATGTATATGTATATGTGTATATTAATAAAGATCTTGCAGCCTAATGAGAATAGAATGAACGAATGAGCTGTTCTTACTATTAACACAGGATAATTAAAAACCTTTTCCTTTCTCTCTTTGTAATCTGTGATCTCATATTGATATCTACAAGAGACTTGGATATTTTCCGCCCTATGTTCTAGATGTTTTTATTTATTATTAAGTGCAGGACAATATGAACTTGTTTGTTTCTAGAGAGTTCTTATATTTATGGATATAAAGATAAGATATAATATTTGTGAGTTCACTTTCACAGGGTACTTTCCTGTCGAGCTTGAGAAATATAATAAAATAACAGTTAGATAAGATGAATTAGACATACTATATAGAGGCATATCTAACTGGGCGATAGATAAAAATAAAAATAACAATTTTTTATTGCATATACAAATATACCCTATATTTTCATAAATTACAGTTAGCCAGTTATCTAAGCGTATCTCTAAGCTGTTTAATAGTTTTATCCCACTTGCTGGGCCGTTTTATGTGCCCTTAGATAAGGCACCTGTCCAAATCCTAAGGTTTATTAGTCATAATTTTAATCATATAACCAGCTGTTGACCCTAATGAAATTTTGTTGCACGTGTTGATGAAATGCATAGCAAAACAGCTATATATATATATATATACATACGTATACGGGTATATACGTATGAGGGTATATGCATGCTTAGGAAACTTTGACAATGAAATTCAATTTGTAGATATTAAAATATTTATTTCGGAGAGCAATAAACGTTTCTAGTTTTTTAATAGAGACATATTCTTAGCATATGATCTCAACTTTTGCAATGCTTATTTATTATAATTTATTTAGCTCTGCGGCACTTCTCCTTTACATAGCTCATCGAGGAATTTTTTAGACTGATGATTTCTATCTATATTATATATATGTATGTATATCTGTAACATATGCCATGGTGGATTATATGATATGCTTTCCGGGTGCAGCTATTTCTCTTTCAATTTATGATCTCAATTTAAATGTCGCTGCTTAATTGGCTATATAATTGGCACAAGAAATTTAAGCTAAATATGGATATTTATGAGTATGTGTATATATCTACACATACATATGTATATGCTCTAGTGCGTCATCATCATCATCATAATTCTTAGAGTTATCGTCATCTTCGTCAATTGTCTCGCAATCAGCTTGTAGTGCGTCATTCTAAGGGCCGATGTTAGTTTGGAGTGGTTGATGTATTTTCACTCCACTATTTACACATCCGATGAGATAAATGGCTGAAATAGCACCAGCAATTGCATAAGACCATTTGCAATACTCTGTACTCATTGAGGCGAGCAGTGATATTAACTATATACATGTATTATGAAAAAGTTGATATTTTGAAACATTTTCTGTTTGAAATATGCAAAATTATAAAATTATAAACGGTATTCAACAGCCGATACAGTCCATCATATCGCCTGCTTGTCTACGTCTTACTAATGAAAACCTGTTTAAATAAATGTTTAACGAAATTAACAAATTATTATAAATAACAGTTGAACTTTATTATGGGTTCAATTTACACAAGTGCTTTAGACAATTTGATATCAGCGTCAGTTCCTGTCGGCCCTAAAAATACAAAATCAACAAATAGGCCACAAAAGAAAAAGAAAAATAATTATAAACTTCAGAAAAAGAAGTTATTTTTATTTGCCATGCCCATTATGAAGGATTCTCGTTGTCGATCCACGCAAAAGAACAAAATATATTCAATTCTAGGAAAATTGCTAGATATGGTTTTTATATAAATTTGTCTTCTTTGACCGATAATAAGCCCAATCTGATTTACATCTTCAGTGAGTCAGGCACTTAACTCTTGGGAAATACAGTACAGTTTTAATTTTGATTGCTGAAGCAAACATCGAACCCGTTCGATATCAGTTTACATTTTTGGTTTACGATGAAAAAGTCTCAAGAAATATTAGCGCAATCATTTCAATAGGCAATTCAGTGAGTCAATCCATCAGTCAAGTGGTTTAACTGTCAGACGTATCAACCAATCGTTCAGTCAATCAGAGTTTGAAATGCAGTCGTCAATTTGTTATCCAAACTGTTAGTCTTTCAATCAATCTATCAGTCTTTTGACGTTCAGGAACTAGCTCAGTCCATCAATCAGTCAAACAGTCAATCGATCACTTGATCAAATGGTCAAATAATTAGTCCTTCAATCAACCTTTAGTCATCATCATCATCAGCAAATAATCTATTAGTTATTTAATCTGTGTCAGTCATTCAGCCCCTCAATCATTAAGTCAATAAATGAGTCAGTCAATCAGTCGGTCAAACAATCAGTTAATCAAATGTCGATTGCTCAGACTTTTATACAATCCATCAGTCATTTGGTTTAACTTTCATAAACTAGGTCAGTCTATCAATCAGTCAGTCGATCAACAGTCAGCCGATCACTTGATCAAATGGTCAAAATGGTCAATCAACCGCTATCATCATCATCAGCAAATAATCTATTAGTTATTTAATATATGTCAATCATTCAGCCACTCAATCATTAAGTTAATCAACGAGTAACTCAATCAGTCAGTCATTCAGTGCCTCAATCGTTAAGTCTTCCAATAAGTCACTCAATCAGTCAGTCAAACAATCAGTTAATCAATTGTCAATTGATTAATCTTTCATTCAATCCATCAATCATTTGGTTTAACTTTCATAAACTATTTCAGTCTATCAATCAGTCAATCATTTGGTATATCACTTCAAACTTCTCGGTCTAGCACAGGCAATAAATTGCTTAAATAGTCCATCTACGATAGAGTCAATCAGATGGTCAGATCGTTGCATCATCAGCAATGCATTCATTCAATCAGTAAATTGGTCAGTCAATAAGTCAATTGGTGAATCAAACAGTTTATCGCTTGGTCAATCAGTAGACAGTCAATCAGAGCAAAGCGCAAAAGCAAACCGAACAAT